CATAAGCCATTATCAAAGATGACAATTACATTACAATATATTAACCAATACACGGACAAAACAATAATGATAATCTGTTTTTGTTTGCATGGAAGCCTTCCAAGCAACGACAAACTCGTGCGTACGAGACACTGGAAGCGAAAATTGCACTGCAGCTCATGACATCACACATGACCATGCAAGAGTGAAAACGAGAAGTATTAAGTATGGGAAGCTGTTGGCGCATTATATATATATATACACACATATATATATATATATATATATATATATATAAATTAATTGATTTAAAAATATGGTTATTTTCGCTACACAGTTCCAACCATGTTTCAAAAATAGAAGCTAAAACCCCTAATTTTTATTTTTGCAAATAAATTAAAAGCATTAGTTCCATTTCATCTTCAAGCGAATTTTGGAGTAACTTTTAAAATTTACCGGGTTTTAAATACACAGCTAAAATCACGTTTCCATGGTTACAGAATATTCTACACTGAAACCTGACGTCGGTTGAATGGATGTCGTCTGAATTTAAAAAAAAAAAAAAAAAAATGTTAACGGTAAAAAATTCAACCGACGTCAGGTTTCAGTGTAAAATACATCCTCACCCCTTACCAAAATGTAGCTAATAACTGATACAATGATACTGTCATAAGGAAAATCTAGACACCCCGTGTTCAATTTGAGTAGAATATTCTGTAACCATGGAAACGTGATTTTAGCTGTGTATTTAAAACCCGGTAAATTTTAAAAGTTACTCCAAAATTCGCTTGAAGATGAAATGGAACTAATGCTTTTAATTTATTTGCAAAAAAATAAAATTAGGGTTTTTAGCTTCTATTTTTGAAACATGGTTGGAACTGTGTAGCTTAAAAATAACCATATTTTAAATCAATTAATTTATAATATTAATGCTCTGTAAATTTACATTGAGCACTATTTTGTAAAAATAAAATATCTATAAGAACACCGGATTTTATATCTTACTGTTCTTTCTTTTTATTTATATATATATATATATATATATATATATATATATATATCTATCACTGTTTTGTGGAACTGACTCCCAAGTAGATGTTTCCGCTGATCACTACAATCTTAACCTATTCAAGTATAGGGTTGAACATTATCTTGCCTCCTATCTGCATAAATGTCTCTTACTCTATAACCCTCTACACTAGGTGGCTTGTACAGTGCAAACCTTGCATAAAAAAGAAATTAAAAAAAAAAAAAAAAAATATATATCTCTGGACATTAAAGTCAGTACCCAGAGGCCACAGTGTTTCATGATTAACACAATTGTTATGCGTTCATATTGAGCACTTTAACCCCAAAAATATAGTTTACCTTAAAACTATATTTAGTTTATTTATATATATTACACACACCAAGATTTATGTTAGAATTTTTAATGCGAGAAGAAATAATAATTTTTTTATTCAAAACAAAATGCTCATCTTGGTTGTTATATAACACTTCAGCCATGATAACCTCTGGTCTTCTTCAGGTGTCTATTGTACCTGGTGACTTTCTTGGAATTTTAGGCTGAACACTTTATTCTATCCAAGAGACACATGGCCATGGGGATTAAAGTGTTGATTGCCAAGCAGTTGTGAGTTCAATCCTTGGATCAAGTAGTGTGAAAAAGTAATATAATCTGGTTCAGTGGCAGAAATTAACAATTGGTGAGCATTAACCAATACAAAATATCCCCCGGGCATGGAAAATAGGGTGAGAACAATCTACTCTTGTGAATAAAATGTTTGGTTCAAAATTCCGAAAAGGTTACTCAGTATATAACAGATACATGAAGAAGGAAAAAGGGTATGATGGATAAAATGTTGTAAATATAACATCTAAGCTGAGCATGCTGGTCTAAATAGAAAGGCAAAATTTACTGATTAGAGAAGAAAAAACTCTTGCGCTTTTCTTTGTGATTCAACAGTTTTACAGCATTCTTGTTAGAGTTTCTGAAATTAGGAGAGCAAAGCTCTAGTTTTTTTTCTTTCTTTATTGTCTTTGTCTTTTCCCAAATGTTTCAGTCTCTAGCCTTTTTCAATATAACAATCTGGCATAAATACAATTATAAGAATCCAACAAAGTTTGGAGAATAGAGTAGCCAACAGATAAAAACCAAGAAAACTGGTTCAAAAGAATCAAAATTTATAAAGCATAATAATAACTTATAATCTGTTGTTGATATCTGAAAACATTTCAATATCTGAGTTATGAAGAAAAAAATTTCTTAGATTGTGCATGTAATGCTTGTCTTGGAATAAGATGGAAATATTCTGTCTCTTCATTTTGAATTTATGTGTTAGTTTGCTTACAAGTTACTTAAATATTTATTATTTACATAATTTACATAAAAAGTGATTCTTCATACTTTCAGCCCTGTGCCGCATCTAATATATGTTTAGTAAATTACTATAAATAATAAATAGTTTAGTCTACTGTGTGTTGAATATCAAATGAGGAATGAATTCATTTAGTATTAATATTCTGTTAGTTTGTCTAGCTAACTGTTATATTGTGACAGGTCACACTAAACCTATTGATATGTAGGATGAAAGAGATTAGAAACACAGTTTATATGTGACAATAAAAGAGTAATGAAAAACGTTTATTTTTATGTAGGTCAACTTGCCTCTTTATTTAAAAAAAATTCAAAAATTAAGTTATTCAGAGGAGAGGAAAAAACTATTACAGAATCTTTTTGGAAAATATCTAGCCATGTTGATTATCCAATATTAATATTCAATTAATATGCAGCCTTAATATAATTTTGCTATCAATCAGTAAGTAACTTTTCATATATTTGAACAGGCACTCTCCCATGAGGTTACTCAGTTGGCATTGGTAGAGAAATAACATGAACTTGTGTCTGTGCATTCCTAATGCCTTTAAGTTTTGTTTTTGCAAAACATTGCATCACTCAAGCCTATTATCCACACCACCTCAAAATTTGGGTCTTTGTAACTTCTGGTTTTTCACAAAGCTAAAAATTGCCATTAAAATGCAATGGATAAGGTTAAAGAGTATGTGACAATGCAGCTGATGGTGATCCCTAAAGAGGAAGAGATACTGAGATAAATGTGTAAAGTCCTAGGGAGAGATTTTGAAGAGGACTAAAGCACCACTGTCCTAGCTTAGTTAGGCATTTGTTATATTAAACTACTGCATACTTTCTATTTACACCTGGCATTTCATAAATAATATCTAAAGAGTGATAAACTTGTGATATATGGTGATTTATTCTTTATGAGTTTAAATTATTTCAGCTTTTTATTATTAGCCTCTGTATCTCCTAATATAAAACATCTATTTAAAAATGTATGTATGCAAAAACATTTACAAAAAAAAGTGTTACTGACATTTCATAAGAAAATAGTTTCAAAAAAAAGATTACATAATGATAAAGCACACTGTATGTAACTTCTTTTCTTATTCTTAACAAGTACTTACATTTATTGAAGTAGAAATGCAGCAATACCCATAATTCCTAGCTCTAGAATGTCACACAAAAATATAAATCCTTGTCACATGAAACAGTCCCTACATTTATAAGTTAATCTGTTATAACTGACAAGAGAATAAATCCTTATTGGTAAGAAGTCAAGTTAGAATATCATAATTATTAAGAAGTTTTATTGTTTACATTTCCAGATTTGTCATTTTTGCCATTTTTCACTTGTAAAAGAAACAAATGAAAACCTGAGGCAAAAAACATTGGTTATAAAAAATTCTTCCAGGTTCAGGTGTTTGACTTCACAGATCTTATATGATGCATCAGTCAATTGCTTACCTAAGAAAGAAGTGATTTAGAATTACAAATGCATATTTATAATTTACTCTATTTACATGCAGATTATTATCTTCATCTATGTTGTTATGTTTCAGTTGTTTTAAATTAAAAGGTAAAATATTATTGGTGAAATAATGTGTAGAATTTTCAAACAACTTTTTAGAAAACTGACCACATGTCTGTTCCATTATTATTATTATTATTGACACTTGTTATTGTTGTGTGTTGTGTAACTTAAAAGAATAGTCAGATTCAAGTAGACAAAGAAAAATAAAATCTAATAGCAGACAATTTTTATTACTAATATTTTTGTTTTGATAAAATTATTTTATAAATTTTTACAAAACATTATCAATACAAATTGCATACATTTTTAATAACTTTTCTTTATAAAATAGAAATATCAGATAAAATATAAATGAATGCAATTTATTCAAGATAACAATTTACTTACAGGAATGAAAATTTACAACATATTGAACACAAAAACATTTCAATTCAAACACATTTTGAAACTGTTTTTGAGTTTCGATAACATTATGAAAATCTTTTTGAGAGTAAAACTTTGTTCAGTAGCTAGCATTTTAATATATGTCTATTTTGCATTTTATTAGATCTTTATATCTTAGCTCAGTACTTCTTAAACTATGAGTTGCGACCATAAATTGGGTCATGAAGCAAAATGCTGGGCTCGGAAAAATTAAACACTTGATTTTCAGTATCTGTCTATATTTCCGAGATGAGGTATTATGTACATTATTTATATTACTCAGACTATCGTCCTCATCTTTGTCGCCATATTTATTACAACATTTTGGCCGTTGTATGCTCCAGTCTTCTTCAGGTGGTTGGAATGTTGAACTGAACCCTTTATTTCGCTCACTGGGGTTGACTGTTCTAGTTCCTCAAGGACACATAGCACAGTGGCTTGGTATTGGTTATATCCAGTGACAGGACCCAAAGAATGTGAATTCAATACCCGGTTAAGGGAGTGGAGAACTTTCAGAGGGAAATTAACAAGAGATAGCTGATAACTGATATCCATTAAACATGGCATGTGGAACTAGAACAGTCTACCCCAGTGAGTGAAATCATTTCATAGACACCCTGGATATTTGAATAGTGCTCTATCCAATGAAAAATGGTATTTATAAAATACTTTCTTTTGAGAGACAAACATATGAATTATACAAACCGTTCATTTGTAGCTTTTTCCAGACTATTACCATTTACTTTTAGCAACTGATCCCCAACTTTTAATTGACCTGTAAAATAACAATTATCACACTTAACACATGGGGCCAAGATATTTAATTTATTAAATCGATAAACTTAACTATAAGATAAATTTCTAACAATTATTTTATGATACTAAAAAATTTGCTTAGTAATTGAGAATTATTTTGAGTAGGGAAAACTTGCTGAAACAAAATATAATTCCATTCATTAATTTCAAGATAGATAAATGAATGTTTAGTAAAATGTAAAGGTAAATAATAATCAAAAGAAGAAATAAAATTACCTTGGGTTTTTGCAATACCATTAGGAAGTAACTTTTTCACAAAAATTCCATAATTGCCTTCACCATTGCGGCAAAACCCACCAATTATTTGCAAGCCTATTAAACATTATCAAAGTTGTGAGTAAAATTGAAAACCATTTGAAAAATAAAATCATACATTGAATAGATAAGAATAATGTAATCTTTTGCTGACAGATTTGCTATCTTTTTGCCTCTTGTATCTTCAATTCAATTTGTTTCATTACTAATTTGCATTTTCTTCATTGTTTATATATTGGAGAGGTGCATTTATAGATTGAAACAACAGAATGTCTACATTGGTTACCATGGCTATTTCCAGACTGCAAGTCAAAAACTTTATATTTATCCAATATTATAATGAAGACTTTCCAAGGAGAATGAATTGGAATTAAAATATTTAAAATTACCTTCAAATTGGTAACTAAAAATGATTAAAGAATATAAAACATATTGTGAAATAGAAGTCTTTAATGACTACAAGAGAACATTTAATAGTTTTTGCCATATAAGGTGCACATTATATTTCAGATTGAGATTATGTATCAGCCGTTTTGATAAAGATGGATGTGTAGTATCTGATCTAAACCAAGAAGCCTACAACAAATCATGACCTTTCTGATGCGCCAAATATATTTGATTTTAGGATTGATCTACTGTTACTGCTTGAATAGAATAAATTGACTCTCTTGAATGACTAAATCAATTAGAAGCTGCTTAAAATCTATATAAAACAGAAAATATTGATTAGAAAGTAAAAGATTTGTAAATTTGAAATCTGGAATATTTTGAATGTAAAGTTTTAATTTCTAGCAGCTTTGTTTAGGGTTAAGAATTTTCTGTCTCTCAATAAGTGTACAAAGGAACTTTGAGCTTAAATTTTAATATAAAATAAAAAAATCTGGTGTACTAAATCAAATGTTAAAAGTGGTGGTGATGGGGGTAATAAATCTGATAAACTTGAAAGATTTCTGATTTATTATAATGTTTTTTAATCTGATCTTATAAAATTAATATTTTCTTTAAGTTATTCTATTGTAAACATCTTTTTGTTTTGATTTTATATACATAATTTTTTTTTACTTTTCCCTTATATTTATTTTATAGAATGAAACCAATACACTTCCCTCATATACAACTTAAAATAAAAATTTTAGAAGTGAAAGTTTTGAAAAAAATTAGGAATTAGTTTTCTGGTTTATTTTGAAACTTAATGGCAATAATAATTTTTGACAAATGATAAAACTAAGCTCAATGTCATAGATTGAAGTCAATGAAACAAAATTAATTTTCTGCTTAGTTTTTCTTTCCCAGCAAAACCAGAGTAATCTAAAGCCACTCTCTACCATCCCCTTCCCATACCACTGTGGATGAGTCTGGTAAAAAGCTACGCAAGTGTTGAGCACTCATGATTGTACTACAATTGTAGGCTACCTTGTTAACTATTGTTCTATAGCAAATCATTTCATTTATTATTAAAGTTTTTAAAAAAATTGTTTCTTTTACAGCATACTAAAAGTTAATTATTAATTGCATAAGTGATGCATATTTCTGTACAATAAAATGTTGATTCTTCAAGAAAGATTTCCATTTTGTACAATTCAAGTCAATTAACTTATAAGTATCTTACCAATTCCTTTGGAACAATTCTCATATATAATTTGGATGGTTTCTCGTTTTGTCTTAGAGTTAGTTGGTGAAGGGGGAGGCCTGAAAACACAAATAAAAATCTTATATTAGAAAATTATTATTCCACTAAAATTTTATAAGGTATGCTATATTTATGGGTTAAAGTGCTCAATATCAGGGACAAAGCATATGTAAATATAAAAATGGACATTGAAGTCAACACCCAGAAGTGACAGTCTGTTTCATGCTAAATGTAATTGTTAGGCCATATGCATTGTGTTTTTGCTCAATTTTTTATATATACAGGCCAGTGATGCATTATGGGCATTCTATTGTATTGTGGATAGTTTATTGTATTATTCTAATGGTTATTTTGGTGGGCGTGGTTTGTTAATTTGTTTATTATTTACTTATTTGTTTGGATGAATTTATTTTACTTGTTTTTGTTTGTTTATTTTATTTTATTTCTTTATTTTCATTTATTCGTGTTCATTTTCAGTTTTGATTTTTAAGTAACGTAGTAAAAATTTGTTTTTGTGCCTGCATTTTGAGATGAGTTCTGATCATTTATTTAGTGGTTTGTTTTGGTCTGGGAAGGTAATTATAGCTATTTTCTTCTCTAGATAGTATTTAAATTTTTAATTGTTGTAGGCTGATGAAGTTTTCCTTATTTCACATGATATTTTTGGAGTGATTTGGTTTTTGTTTTTAATTTCCCATATATGTTTAGAAAGCATTGTGTTGTTCACGCATTTACTATTTGTAAAGGATGTTTTGTGCATATAGTTTCTTTGTTTCTAGAGTCCTTCAGTTACTCCTATGTATATTTTTTCTTTGTTATTTGCTGATTTTACAGTGGTTTGCTATATTACATTGTTCTGCAAGAAATTGCCATTTAAAGGACATTCTTTTGTTTGTATTTACACATGGGTTTGGTTTTTGTGAATAGTTTGCTGATTTTTACTGTTTCTGTTGAATATCTTGTGGGGAGTGTTTGATAACAGGGAATGTTTATGTATGAGTTTAATAAATAATTTTCCTATGATTATTTTTACATTTTTGATGTATGATGGGTTGAACCATATCATGCTATTTTTCCTGTTTGTTTTTTATGCTCTGTGCGCATGTGTAAATTTTCAAAAGAAAGTAATGGATTTTTATTAATCCGACAGATTTTTTTTATCACTTTAACCATTATTATTAGTGGATACTCATATTTGAATAGATGCACTGTTCATTTATTAGACAGTATGTTTATTTATTTTCTTCTACCAGCCTGAATGTTTGAGAAATCTTATTAATCTAAATTTTTCATTAATAAGATTTTTCAAACATTCAGGCTGGTAGATGAAAATAAATAAATATACTTTTTAATAAATAAATGAAGCATCTACTCAAACACAAGTATCCACATAATAATATTTAAAGTGATAAAAAGTGTGTGTGTAAGTTTTCTTTTAAAACAAAACATATGCAGTGCATTTTGATCATTGTTATAAAGACAATGATGAATTTCTATACCATTTTTTGTTTATGTCTGATATAAGTAAATAGAGAAAAAAATTCTAGGTAATACAAAATTTATTTATGCATAGGTATTTAGTAAATAATTGTGAAAGTATGTGTTTCATAAAGCATAAGCAGGTAGTAAATAAAAAATAAAAAGTACAATATATTCTTTTACAGCAATAATTAACAGTTTCATAATTTGGACTTAATAAATAAATAAGAAATGTTACCTGTTTTCAAGCTTTTTTTCTCCTTTTTCCATGATCATGTTTGATTCTTCAATCATGTTACCAAACATTGTCTATTATTTTGAAATCAACCTAAAAGAAATAATAATAATAATAATAATCACAAATGCAGTAAATAATTTTTTCTATAAAAATATCTGGATTAAAAAAATGCAAATTTTAAAACAAAAGAAAGATCAACTGAAATTTTCCTTAATAGACTAATTGAAGATTAGAATAATGGATAATTGGTATATATTGTCTTGCAGACCAATTCACAAGTCCAGGCCAGATTTTTACCTGCTGAAGACCTAAGCTATTTGAAAGATTCTCTAAAAGATTTGGGTAAAAAATTTTTAAATAATTATACACGATTATTATCAATTAATGATTACAAAATTAAATTAGTTATAAAATGTTACTTTTAACTAATCAATTTATTCCATTGGCTTGATAAAATAATTGTTGTCCTTAGCAATTAGCAAATATTCAGTACAAATATGTAAACAAAACTAAATTTAATAATAATCCCTTTTTATTTAAAACATTGTATTGTGAATTTTCTCTAGCAAAATCATTAATTATTTCATCAAAAGAAGTGCAGTATAACTTGTCACTTTCTATACATAGAAGACCTAAGTGCAGTTAGTCTATCTTGTGACATATTTGGTTGAAATACATTTTTCATTCTTTTTATCTGTGAAATAGGATTTTTCTCCTGAGCAATTTGTAACCATCAAGAATAGGAATAATCATAAAATGCCTTCTATGTTTAGAAAAGCTTTATGAATTTTGTCTTTCTAGATTATTTGATATAAAAACTTGTGACTAACATGTTCATCTTTTAAATAATTTTGCTTAAAAAAAAAAAAAAAAAATGTTTCAATTCACCTGACAGGTTCTTATCAACATCATCAGGATATTCTTTAGTAATTGCTTTTACTGCGTTGCATAATTGCTCCTCTGTAGAATGTCAATCGAAAAGAAACAACAATTTCTCTGCAACATAATTATATACTGTTGCTCTTTTATTCAAGTTTGTGTGAAGCGTATCCATAATAGGAATCAATTTTTTTTTTTTTGGAAGAAATTCTTTAAAACTTAATGTACCATACAGTTGGCAAAATAACTTACAATTTTTATTGCTATAATTATTAATTTTTATATTAATATTGATGATAAAAAATAAATACTATCTATAATTTTTAATGATTTAGTGTTAAAGAATAAAAAATAATTTAGAAATAAAAATATATTTTAAAAAATGAGGCCCCTCCTGAGGGTGTGTGACCCTAAACTATAACTTATTTAGCTAAGTCCAGAATTGTCACTGGTTTAGTAAATTTTATTATCAGTGTCTTGTGTTAAACAAACTAAATAACTAATAATAAAATATAAATATTTAATTTTTGTGTATATAATGAAGTCACAATTATCCAGTTTTATATATCAAAGATTAAAAGTGTGAGATGAAACTAAACAATAAATATCTACTTATGCAAAGATAATTCACTTTAAATTTATTTATACACACACACACTAATATATAAATTTTACAGCAAAAAACAAAAATTACCTCAACATGGGGATAGTCTATTTCAAACCAGTCTGTACACAGCTATCATCAACCCTTATAAGCAATGAAAGGCTCTAGCCATAAATAAACTCCAAACCCAGACTGCTTCCCTGGAATACGATACCTTACACCCTCCATCAGTTGCTAACACAAGCCCCTTCTCATTAACAAGGCATCTGCCAGAGAAGGACTGACATTGAAAATAAATTTAAAACAATGCTTTGAGACAGACACTTAGAAGCTGATGATAGCTGCATATAGACTGGCTTGAAATAGACTATCCCCATGTTGAGATAATTTTTTTTTTTTTTTTGCTGTAAAAAAATACATATGCTCTGTCACAATAAATACATTGGGCTCCCTGTGGATCAGTTTTAATAATTAATATTACTAGGATACACCTGGATTATATACCAATGGATCAATTACCTGTACTATATATCAATCACAATATTGTAATTTTCTTTCTTCTTTTAATGATAATGCTATTAAGCTTATAAGATGATATGAAAAGAATTTACATAAAATAAATAGACAAAACTTGTCTATATTATTTAATGCAACATGCATCAATATATATATATATATATATATATATATATATATATATATGAAAAATTTCTCAAACCTGTAGAAAAAGACAACATTTATAAATGTAAAAGACAATAGGAAAACTGTAATGGTAGCTGATGCGTTTTGTCCAATGTGGACTTTTTCAAGGCAAAAAATGAAATGAATTTATTAAACAAAGTAACTAATAATAATAAAAGAAAATGTCCTTAGCAACTGGAAGAATTTTGTTAAGGCAGAGGGAAATTAAAAGGAGATAACTGATAACTGACATACATTAAACATGGCACATGGAAATAGAACAGTCTACCCCAGTGAGTGAAATAAAGGGTTAAGTTCGACATTCCAACCACCTGAAGAAGGCTGGAGTGTACAACGGCCGAAACATTGTAATAAATATGGCGACAAAGATGATGACAATAGTCCGAATAATGTAAATAATATATATATATATATATATATATATATATATATATATATATATCTATGAAATAGACTAACCAAACAAATAAGTTTACTCCTTCTTACAGAGTGCCTCATGTATGTGACCTTGTACTATAGTAAATTATTATTGATTTGGGTGAAATACAAGGTAACTGTATTTTACAATTAAATATTACAGGTCATGACTATTGCAGGGAATTTGATCCTCACTAAGTGCTATATATGTAGTCTTTTGTCAGATGAAGCCAATACAGAATCTCTCTCCATTTCTTTGTCTAACTGCCTAAATAAGAAAAAAATTTTTTTAAAGTGATAGAGAACTGATGCTATTTTTAGAAAATTATTCTACTTATTAGTGATTTGGTGACCGATAAAAATTATTAAACCTATAAATATTAATATAAACTATTAGTTTAAAAAAAATGCAAAAAATCAAACTATACCGACCTATAAGCATAAATATATATCCAATTGATTTTATTTTAGATCATACTGATCTGTAATTAGTCACAGAAGTACAGACATATTGCATGATGCAGTTATTTTTTATGGATTAATTCTCTCCTCCACTAATTTTAATCAATGTGAATTGTTTATATCTTAATTTAACTTTTTAGAAATGAATCACTCATTTTATACATAAATATTTTATCTCACAGAAAAATAAGATAAATTAACTAGGCAAAGTTATCTTATTTACCAAAATGTCATTTTAAAAAAAAAAAAAGGTTATTTTTTTTATCTTATTTCATCAGACTTGGCTACATAAAAATCTTATCATAGATAATTCTTAAATCTGTAACTATTTGGGCAGAAAATAATTGTATTTGGTTTCTCCAAAAACATAAAACTAAACAAACATGCAATAGAATGCACTTACAAAATAGAAATAAATAACATTTTAACTCTCCTAGATATCATGTTACACTATACTGACAATAGCCTAAAACTAAGTACTTATTGCAAATCAACTAATAAAAATTATCTCAAACATCTATTCTTACCATAATAACAAAATAAAATCCAGAAATTTATCAGATTTTATTTAAATGCACTCAGAATTTGTAACCCTCAATATTTATATGAAAAGGAGAAACACATTGAAAATACTTTTAAACTCCTCTAATACCCTAAATATTTCGTATTCAGTGTGAACAGAAGGCTTGTTAAATATTTCATTATATATATATATATATATATATATATATATATATATATATATCTCAATCACAAAAGTAGAGAAAAAATTTTGTGTGACATGTTTCATCCTTTAGGGCTGCATTAACAGAAAACAAAAGGCTTATAAAATATTTCAAAATAAAAGAGTGGACCATTCTGACAAACCCAATAACTCAAAATATATTATTCCGACAAACTCAAAATATATTATTCTATCTACTATCACAACTACAATTGAAAAAAATTTAAGCTTAACATAAAATTTGTTACAACTATTTTTAAAACAATAAAAGACTTAATTAATGCAAAACAAAATAAGCTAAAACTTGAAGGAGGAATTTACTCTATCACCTGTAATAATTACCACAAGGAATACATAGGAGAAACCTCAAGGAATTTAAAAGATTATATAAACAGAAAAGGGATCTTTTATGAAACAACACATTAGTTGTTCAACATAATGAGTGACCATAATTTTGATTAAAAAATGCTACTTTAATTAAAAGAGAAAGCAATTTACTAAATGTATAGAAAATGTTTTAATTGCTAAATCATCCACAGTAAATTTGCATCCAGTTCCTTACAACATTTCACTTTTCTTGGCTGATCTTCTATTATATCAATTTGGGATACTTAATAAAAGTGATAAAAATATAAACAAAAAGAAATTGATTAGACTATATACCTCTATCCGCACCCCCATCAAATTTTAAAGTTTAAACTCTCCACGTGCATATGTAGTAACATCAACATAAACATCATTTTGGTCCAGTTATGTAATAAAGGATGAAATGTGGCACAGAAAACACTTTTTCCACTTTGTCATTAACTTTCCTTTTATATATATATATATATATATATATATATATATTTTATTGCACGGTACTTAGTGGAAAGTGCTCAATATCTGTGACAGAGCTAACATTCAGTTGTATGGATATGAGTTTGTAATCCTGGGTTTTACGCTTTTGTGATCATCAGAAAAACTGGTTTATTTTTTAAAAAATGGATCTATTTATGCTTATTTGTGTTTGATTATTTGTGTGTTTTATAAGTGGGGGAATTATCTTCTGTGTTTGCTTGGGATCACGCTCTTGCACACAGACACACATACATACAGTTGTATGCATTTTAGTTTGCACAAACACACCCATATAAATAATACAAGGTTATGCACAGATATACATACATGCATTTGAGAATAGATATATATGCAATTGTCATTTTATTTCAGTATCAAGACCTTTGCGTTACATATGTAGCAATGTTCTC